CACACCCACACCCCACATCGCACACCCACACCCACATCCACACCCACAACCACACCCACACCCCACACTCCACACCTACACCCACATCCGCGCCCACACCCTTCCGGACTTAGGTCCGAAAACACCGGCCGGGAACTATCTTGGTGTCCGTGGCATACGAACGGTCTTCTCCAGACTCATTGATACATCTCTCGAGTGGGACGGATGTGAATGATAGGAGTCTGTCCCGTGCGTGTATGAGCATTATGCTCGCCATGGCTCCATCAGGATGGTTGCTGCTCACGCGCGCATGAATAGCATAACCATTCTTTCCATTACTTCAACGTGATTTATTTGAGCGAAAGGAAAGAAAACAATCTATTGTAATGAGTCTATTTGATTGAAAAACATTGAACACAATGATTCTCATTATCAACGACATAGAGATTGCCATGTCGATCGAAGGACAAACCCTCGGGCCTCCTAAGCTGATATGCTCCTTCTCCTCGACCATTTCTACCCACAATGACAGTGCCCTGTTTCGCTTCTTTAGGCCAACGCATTACTCGATCATTCACCCAGTCTGCCACATAGATAGTACCCAACGTATCAACGAACAGTCCTTTAGGATACCACAATTGTGTCAGATTATTCCCTTGGTCTTGACCTCCAGCAACGACAATTCCTTCTTCTGCATCTTTATTCCATTTCATCACACGATGATTGTCACGGTCTGACACGTAGACAGCCTGTTGTCGATCGACAAAGATGTATTTCGGCTTGTTGAATTGATTGAGACCATCACCTCTGCCATTCCCACCAGCCACGATAATTCCATTCTTATCTCCTACATGGTATCGTCTTACTTCATGTTTTTCGTCGTCAGAGATGTAGAGATATCTCTGATCATCCATAGCCAATCCCCAACAATCGATGTTGTCGATGAGGAGTTCTCCTTCAGTTGTGCCACTACGACGAGGCCATCGTACGACTCGTCGATTTCCTAGATCACAAGTAATGAGAGTATCAGTCTCTTTGTCGATCAACACATCGGTTGGAAAAGTCAATTGATCCAATCGATTTCCTTTGCCATTGTCACCAGCTACCACTTTTCCATTCGTATCATTCATCTTCCATTGGATGATACGATGATTGTTGTAGTCAGAGATGACCATCGTTTGATCATCATCAACGAAAAGACCCGAAGGCCAGTAAAGTTGATTGGTGGCACCACCCCCTCCATGGCCTCCAGCAACAGTCGTCCCATTCTGTTCCCATTGGGCATTGGCTGGAATATTAGGAATTACTACAATAAAAGAAAAAGAAAAAGCATCATCATCGTTCAAGAGATTCCTCTCTCTCGCGGGCGAAAGAGCTATGAAGGAGATATTCACCTTGTTCGAAGGAAATTCGGTAAAACTTTCGAGAATGTTCTTTCTGCAGATAAAAATTCAGAAGCATTTTCCTAGTTTCCTATGAGAAAAAAGGATGTCGTTACGATTCTTACATCTATGTTACTTATAGTTTTTGCCAAGGTCATTTTGACCTTCCAAACTACACCTGGCGATTGCTGTAAGGAGGTCCTCGAAGAAAGAGTAATGCTAATTTCATGTAAGCTTTTGATAGAAAAACATAGAGATCTGAGGATTTTATTCGAAATTGCAAGAATTCAGATTTTTTTTGCAGAATGACCATTTATATGAACATCAGAGAAGATTCTATTTGCATCTTGTAAGAAGAATGTCGAATCGTGAACAAAAAATATCAAACCTAATCCCTATGTTTTTGGGGAACGTTACGGAGTCAGTATGGATCTTTGAGGATACTGTTCACATCATGGATCAAAGTATCTGATCACATGATTTTCTGAATGATGAATGCAGATCTGCCGAAGAATCTCATAAACATTCGCACATAGGGGACGCCGGTGAAATTTTATAAGACTTTTGGCAAGCTATGTCAAGCTGTTCGAAGGATGACTCTGATAGAGTCTGAGCAAGATCATCAGAAGGCTTGGATACAGGCGAAACTGAGCAAAGTTGAGAGGGTTCCACGCAGATCTATGTAATCTGATGCCTTCTACTTTTGACATGCTGAAAAGATGGATGCCAATCCTAACGGAGCTCTCCAGTGAAAAGCATTGAGATCTACGGATTTTATGGGCTTTGGAAAGGGCTGTGGTAATGGGATAGGCAGAACGTGTTTGAAGGTGATATTATTAACTATTGATAAAAATCATCTTCAGACCATTGTATTAGGGTCCTAGAAGAGAATCAGGAACATGCTATAACCCTTATGTAGTGCTTGTTCTGAGAAGCCTACTTTGAGCTCGCATGTCATGGATATGTTCACGAGGATCTGAAAAGTAAGTATTTTGTGGATGGTTGATATCAGAGATGGGTGATTTCAACTCTGAAGTTGACGCTTTTTCTCATCAGAGTGAGAGTGGAGTTATACGGAGCAGGGGCGGGGCAGAATGAAGGTGGCTATCTCTGGATTTTATGGGGAAATTTATAAAGCAATAAATCAATGTACTACTAATTTATATCAATCGTAGATCTAATTATGTTCAAAAACTTATATGTATTTAAGAGTATTTTGGCAGAAGTTCAGTTTCCTATAATCCGACTAGAATTGAAGTTAAATCGGAGTTGGAGTAGGATTTTAGAAAAAAAGGAGTAGAGCGGTGTGGGATTGGAGCGGAACACATTGCAGCTGAAATTGATGTGGGGTTTTAGAAAATAAGACTGGCGTTATGTGGAGTTGGAGCGGAACATAGTGTAGTTGTCCATATCTGCTTAGTACACAAATGTCGATCCTAATAAGTACTCACGGCGCCTTCTCTGGAATATTGGGAATTACTACAATGAACAAAAAAAGAAAAGGAATCGTCGTTATCAAAGAGCTCCTCTCTATCTCGTAGAGGAAAGAGCTATGAAGGAGACATTCGTCTTCTTCGAAGGGAATTTGGTAAAACTTTCGAGAATGTTCTTTTCACAGATAAATATTCAGAAGTCTTTCCCTGGTTTCCTATAAAAATAAGGATTTCGTAACGATTTTTACATCTACGTTACTTTTAGTTTTTGCCAAGATCTTTTTGACCCGAAAAACTACACCTGGAGATTGCTGTAAGGAGCTTTTTCCGAGAAAGACCAATGCTAATTCGACGAAAGCTTTCGATAGAAAAACATGGGGATCTGAGAATTTTATTCGGAACTGAGAGAATACAGAATCTTTTGCAAGATGATCATTCATATGAACACCAGACAAGAGTTTCAGCAATAAAATAATGAACTATGTGAGACTCCTTAAGTGGAAAAATCCTGAGAAGATTCTATTTACATCTTGTTAGGAGAGTGTGGAATCGTTGCACAACAAATGTCAAATGTAATTTCTATGTTTTTGGAGAACCTCAATGGGTCAGTATGTTGATAGGAACTTAGCAAGATTATAAGAAGATTTCTATGCATGCGAAATTGAAAAGACTTGACAGGATTCCGCGTGGTTATCTGGAATCTGACGCTTTCTACTTCTAAAACGCTGATAAGATTAATGCTAATCCTATCCAAGTTCTCCATAGATAAAGATAAGAATTTAGTTAGCTTTCTACAGGCACGAGCTGAGGATATTCTTGTTGTGACTTGAAAATCAGGGACTCATTCAGAGAGATCAAAAGAGTAACGGCAAGATATTATCAGATTTTCGATAAGATTTGATACAAAGCATCGTCTGGAAATGTTAGAAGGGTTTCTATGAATTCGAGACGCGAATCTTACCTAAAAAATAAAGAACAGTGTCAGAATCCAAAGCTGAAAAAATGCTCAGATATTATTTGCAACTTATTAGAATGCTGATGCTACATATTTGAGCTAATATGGGTGTGGATGAGTATGAGTGTTCCTGTTCTTCATTGGCACCTACACTCACGCACACCTTATAAGAATCCAAAAGTTGTTACCTTTTTGTAACAAATGACTTAGTAGTTTGATATTGATCTGTAAAAACGTATATATCAAATTAAAAAAATTCAAAAGAATTTGAAATTCAACTATAATAAGTCATTTTTTTACAAGTTGGTAACAATATTGATATAACTAAAAATTCATCTAAATTATATTTCAAGTAACGCAGATTTATGGAATATGTTATTGTTCTCTCTACGAATATATTCATTTAAAAAATACGGAACGGTTACTAACATGTAAAGATATACAATAAAAATTATTCTACGTTTACGAGGTTCATTGAACTATTGCACACCCTATATATGAAGATTGTTCCATAGATTTTTTGCTATTTGGATTATTTTTTTCTATTGTGTCGAATACATAAAAGTTGAACAGACATACAAAATATGTATATTCGGAAGGTCTGAACTATGATCAAAGATTCATTATACTCTCAACTAGGGGTGGCACTTTATCTTTATTTTGCTTTGAAAAAGTAAAGTAAAGTAAAGTTCTATACTTTACTTTATCCGGTAAAGTAAAGTTGGGTCACTTTACTTTACTGGGTAAAGTAAAACTCGACAAAAATATTTTTCACAGATAGATAAAAAAAACATACTTTCTCAACTTTACTTTTTGCAAATAAAGTGGTAAAGTACTTTACTTTACTGGTAAAGTAAAGTTCAATTACTTTACTTTACCGGGTAAAGTAAAGTTGAGTAACTTTACTTTACTTGTTAAAGTAAAGATAAAGTGCCACCCCTACTCTCAACTGACATCATTAATAAGAAAATACGTTATTAGAAAACATGCAAAAATCTTTTTATCGATTTTATTTTCTACTCTTTTTTTTCTTACGATGAGAAGATCATGTGATTCATTTTTCTCCTTTTATGTTCTTATGAAATATAAAGCTAAAATAAGTTTACACGTTGTTTTTGTTTTACATATTTAAGATAAAAATATAATGAACAATAAACTGGATAAAATTTCTTTTTAATACTTTTACTAATCATCTACCTTCTTGGTATAAATATCAGTTGAGTACAACAAATTTTGAACGATAACTTAGATATGATATTTAAACATATTTTTTTGTATATCTCTTCTACTTGATATAATTGACAAATACAAAAACAAAGTCAAAGTGCCCTCGAAGATTATGAAATATAGCTACTCGCTTCTTCCTAATCTTTGTTGATGTGAATAGAAAAACGAAAAAAAAAAAGAAAAAAAACCTATGTTGCTCTAGACAATAAATAGAAAGATGAAACATCTACCATCTGTATTAATTCTTGGCTAACAATAAGTTGCTCAAGAAAAAAACTAGTTATCACATACTACGGATGAAAGAGAAAGGAATGACACTATTCATGCAAAAAATCGATGATGAAATCAATAGTCCACCGAAAACGAATTCGAATATTAATAGAAATAATATGGAGATAAACAAAATAGAACTGAATAAACGATGCAACCGTTAAAATAAACTTCTTACAAAGTTTAAATAGTCGATATACTAAACTATTCTAAAGTAATAAGTTCATTGATCGCGAAAACAAAGAGTAACAAATCATATGATTGTCTTAGCTTTGATGCATAATCTATTTACTTGTCTACTTCTGAGGAAAATCAGTGGATGCAGAGAGAAACACAAAGAATTCTCCTATCATCATCATGATAAATATAAAGATATCTTAACATTAACAGACGAAGAAAAATCATATTCTTCTATAATTTAATCGATTCTATTCAGTTAGCATCCTTTTTTCATTTGCAAGATGATGAAAAAAAACAAGCATAGTTAATTTTCTATTTTATAAATGTTAGACTTGTTTTATGTTTCTTCTAACAATGTTAAATCTTCAGAATTTAAAAATACTTATCCAAACAGAAATGAAAACAGCAATAATTTTCGATAGTTCTAAGAAAAGTTGATCGTCAAATAAATCGGTAATAGATTCTGAACATGATCAGAATAAACGATCGTACAAGTATGAGTAGAAATATGAAAGGAAAAAATACAGCAATAACTATGCTATATTGCAAATAGATTAAAATCATATTTTGAATTTTGAGAAAAAATAATAAATAAACAAATTAAACAAATAGATAATAGAAAGAGGCATCAACTCGCACATATATGAAGAAAAAAAGTAGTCGCACGTCTTTAAGAATATTCTTTTTTTTTAAATGATTATTAAAAAGTTGACTTGTCATTCTGATAAAAACAAATCAGAGTAGTCTATAAATAATAATTCTCATATCAAACGTGTTCATATGAATACAAGTAAACAGAATAAAGATGCTGCGTCTAAACGCGTTCAATTGCTTTAAAAAAACCGAGAAAATACGAGTAAAAATATGTTTTCTTAACGAATATTTCGGCGTTAATATGTGTTTTAGCCTTTCAACACAGTAACAATCGTGAAATTTGCGCTGAAAACAAATAAAAACACTTAATTTAACGTGTCAAAGAAATCATTAGAACGCTGTTTTTAAATTATTTCAATATCTTATCTATTTTTAGTGAGTCATTACTAAAGATCCTCTAGGACATAAGTGAATATGTTTCTGCATACGTCAAATATCTTTAGTTGATTTATATGTAGTAAGTGATATACATGAAGCGCATATAACAATCAAAATTTTCTCTAGGCCTATTCTAGCGGTTTTTCTAAGTGATCAACTAATTAGTTTTTGACTGATTTTATATCATTCTACAGTGGAATGTTTACTCTTTACCGGAAATTAAAAAGAAGCGCTTGGCGACCTTGATAGCTAAAACTATGAATAAGATGCTTCAAAAAAAGTTTCTGGCAGAATTGAGACACCAGACTTTAAGATTGTCTGAATTCAAATAGGGGAGTAAGGGAGGAGACCTTTAGAATGTAGTACATTTTTATAGTATCTGAAGTCAAATGTTTTATTAAATTGAAATAAAGCATATTTGTTTGAAAGACAACATATATATAGTAGTATCAAACGAAGAGAAAGGATGGATTTTGTTTTGCAGATATCAATAAACCGAAGTAAAATTCAATAGTGACGAAAAATAATCAACATGGGGATTACTATTAATTGATTTTTTCTTATGATAAAGATTTAATCACTCATAATCTAAGATTGCTGATCTCATTAATGTTACCTTTAACTAGCTGCGGAGTAATATTGTATACCAAGGAACTATATATACTTCAGTAAAAGATAGCATTTGTCAAGATCAACAAGCGTTAATTTAATGCTTACCTAGCTGCTGGATAGTTGTTGTAGTTGTAGTTGGAATTGCAGTGGTAGTTTTGGTTGTAGTTGGAATTGTAGTTGTAGTGTTCGCCACTATTCATTATCATAGAAAATTTGTATAAACAAATCAGATAGTATTAGATCTGACATAGAATGCAATATAGAATTCGGTGCACTTAAGTTTTAGGTGAAGCCTAAGCAGTGTTTCAAAGTAGAGCACCGATCTCAAATGGCCTGAAAAAGGATTTTTTTTCTTTCAAAACTGATTTTTGATGGAAAACTTCTGTGGCTATCTGGGACTAAAAACTCAGTAAAATTTTCGACAATTCTATTCGATTTGATGCGGTTGAGTCAAATTAAATCGAATCGCATTGAGTGGAATCAAATCTATCGAAACTGTTCTGCTCAAATTCATTGCTTCTGTTATATTTTAAATACGGGTAAAAGATTTAAATGTACTGACTGTCATTGTAGTACAAGATCATTATTTGAAGTATGAAGTTTGTGATTTCAACCTGTCACATAAATTGCCTACATGCCAGTGTGTTCGTCGTCTTAGACCATTAGAATATTCCGCCATCATATTAGCAGTGTGAGTGGAATGGTTTCACAGGGATACTCGAAAGAACCGAAGAATACTATACAGATAAATTGTTACAAGCTCTCTCTCGTCCTTCTTGTCGTCAGATGTTTTGAATATTGACATTCTTCTCTTAGGAAAGAAATCTTAAATGTTTGATGCAAGCGGGCATCGCCTCCAAAATAATTAGCCGTGCCAAGAATATCCTCCAATATGCATTCTGTGCTTATTAGTGTTTTTCTAAGGCGACTGAGTCAACAGTGCTACAAACTATGAAATATAATTTACATACACAGTTGCATTACTGATCATTAGTGACATATTCGTTCAATTCAATAATTAAAGCACTCTTGAGCTCTAGAGTTTACTTCGTCATAGCTAAATGATCAGTCTTCAACTTCGCAAGATTAGTCATTAGAAACATGACAGAGAGAAACATGAATGCGTTTTCTTTCGAACTAGATGTTGATCGCAGTTGTCTTGAAAAAAGACTGTCGAGTATACAACAAAAACTGTGAATAAAGAGAAATGTGGCACAATAGAATTGAAATGCTGTTCTGGAGATTCTAACATATGACACGTTCTACAGAATCGAATCGAATAATCAATTATTAAATTTGTTTCGGTCTCTGATGTACATTCAAAAATTCAGTGTGTCTTCATGCATTGCTAAATATAATTGAAATCGACTCTGTATTTCAAATTAATGGATATAGGCCATGAGAAGAGATGAAATCTTTTTTTCCAATGATTACAATTTGTATTCTATCTATCATGCTTTATCTACTTTTTCAAAGACTCTTCGACTCTTTCCACTGCTCCTACATCGACATGAACTGCATATATGAGAGTGTGTCAATGATGAAGAAATAACTTTACGAAAGATTCGGCTTTCACTTGACTCTGTAGATCATTCTTTGTTTTCTTACTTGCTATCGGTGGACAGAATTGTTGATTGAAACTAGGCACTGGATAACAAACAGGAAGATTATGACATCGAGGATGATGTACACATTCATGGTTAGGTTCAAAACAATGGTTGTTTGAGCTTTTACATGCAACTAGCTCAGAACAATCCACGAATTCATCGGTACAAATGCCAACGTCAATAGCACCTGGTATATGGAAACAGGCGCACGCACTATTTAGCGAACATCGATCATATTGAGCAATCCCACGACAGAATTGAGATTTCACTCGAACTAGCGACATACTAAATTAATAGAAGGACATGTAAAAAGAAAACAAGAATCAAACCTGTAAAGCTTAAAATGAAAATTGTTCAACATTAGATGAATAGGAAGAAAAAAAGATTTTATAATTACCTGAATAGAATGAATATGAAACAATGAATTACTGCTGAAACCATCGCTTGCTTTAAAATGAAACAGAATGGCGGCGGGATCCGTCTTTATATACAAGAAAGAGACAATGTTTTTAGCATTCACCGAAAGTGAAGAAGCACAATATGTGATCTTTCGATAAATAGAAATTTGATATTGCTCTACTGCTTTCTTAAACACTTAATTTTTTTTCAAAAAAGTAATCTTTATAGAAGAAAAAAAATCCTCGCAAAAGCAATACAGGATTGCTGCTGCGATATAAGCATTTAATAGGCTCGTGCCATCATTCGAAATATGAATATTGGTATTGTCAGTCATCGACTTACTATGTAATGACGACTTAGAACAATTTCAAGGACAAATTTTGTTTTTAATATTTGTATTTTTAGTATAGACGGCTTACAGTAGTTTGCATCTTGATCAAATCAACGTCACAGTCTATAGACAACCATATGCATTTATACTTTGGACTGTGTCTTCATTGAACCTCAAGGATTTATTTATTTGGCGCTAGGACTGAATGTCGCAAGACAAAATGTCGCGGACAAAATGTTGCGGACAAAATGTCGCATGGACAAAATGTCGCAGGACAAAATGTTGCAAGACAAAATGTCGCGGACATATCGTTGCGGACAAAATGTTGCGGACAAATTGTTGTGGACAAAATGTTGCATGGACAAATAGTTGCAAGGACAAAATGTTGCATGGACAAAATGTTGCAAGGACAAAACGTTGCAAAAAAAACGTCGCATGGACAAATGGTTGCGAGGACAAAACGTTGCAAAACAAAACGTCGCATGAACAAATGGTTTCACGGAACAAAATGTTGTATGGACAAAATGGTGCATGAATCTTTCGTTGGAAACTTAGAGCTCCTCATGACTAGCAATGTAAAACAGATAAGTAGATACAATCTCTTCTTTACATTAATACCATAGCCTCATGTGTATCTTCAGGATAATTTTATCTCTAGCCACGCTTCCACCGAATTATTTGATCTTGGAAGATGATTAATGACACGCTCATATAGATTCCATAATTCATTATTAAATTTTGGTTTTTTTCTTCCAGCTCCTATAAAATACATTTTAGACAAATTTTACACAAAATAAATTGTTCTTACCTCGTTTCTTCTTCTCTCCGATCCATGTCTTTTCATAATATTCAACAAGAGTGTCAGCTTCATCATCGAATTCATCAGCAATTAATTCAAACGCTTCGATCACTTCTGAAGCTGGAACAAAAGGTAATGATAATAATTTTCTAACATTTAATCTAAAATTATCATCATCATCATATTTTGTTGATAAACCATTCTCTTGTATATGACGCCATATACATTGTCCATAGTGAAAAAGACAGCCTGAAAAATAAAATATTAATTTGAAAAAAAGATTTATATATATTACCTCTATGTACAGTATTCGGAAAAAGTTCTTTAATGGTTTTGATTGTACCCGATTCGAAATCACTAAGAATTGATTCTGGTTGAAAATCATCTTGTTCCAAGACTTTTTCAAAAAACTGTTTATAATCATCACCACTTTTACCAATTAATAACCCGTAGACGAGTGGAATAACAACAGATTTTAACAAGGCATGTAATGTAAATAATTGATAGAATTGTTTAGGACAAACCTATACAAAAAATATATATTTATATGTATCATTAAACGCAAGAAATTATTTTAACCAACCTTAAACGTACCATCTACAAACCAATGTGTACATTCTTTTAACAAAGACAAATTTCTTTTTGTAGTAAAAATAATCATTTCATTATCTTCACAAAGTATAAAATCGTCTCCACGATCAGTTTTTCTTAATTCAATAGGTAATTGAGAAGATGAAGTTAAAGATAATGTTGGACGTTGTCTTCGAACAGTTCTTGCTAATGAATCAGATGATGGCAGACTGCTAACTGCGGTTAAAGGTAAAGAGCGTAACGACGAGTGTATAATTGAACTTGCTGCTTCATTAGATATAGCCGCTTTAATTTTAATATCATTTTTAATTTCAACAGCAGGTATTCGTTCTGGATTTGAAGCATGTGAATGTGGTGTTGGACCAGACATAAATTTATTTATCGATAAATTTGTGTGACACCGTGCTAAAAAGTAAATCAGAGTGATTTCAGTTTTGTAAAATATTCTCTGACCTTATTTACCTTTACAGTCCCGGTTTTGACAGCGAAAAATACATTTTACTGCTGTTCTTCGCTCTAATGTATATATAAAACCACGATGAACCACCATGGGTTCCCCTTTTTGAGACTTGAGTGTTCTAATATTTGACATTTCTTGTATTTTAGTAGAATAAAAGCAACTCAAATGATTGTTCCTCTATATATTTAAATCAATGAGTCAATTAGATAGATTAATCAGTTTAGCTTCTAATTAAGTAAGCGGATTATCCTTAATTAAAAGAATAAGCTTTTTCTTTGAGATAGATTGTTCTATTTTATAGATATCAATCAATGGCTTGATTAGTTTTGGCTCTTTCAAGTTAGTTTTTGTGTTAGAATAAGTTATATTTTCTTTCGTTTGTTTATAGTATATTTCACGAGTGTATTGTCTGAAAATAACACTATCTTATAATTGCAACGTTATGTCCTGCGACGTTCTGTCTTTGCAACTATCTGTCCATGCAACATTTTGTCCTCGCAACATTGTGTCCATACAACATTTTGTCCTTGCAACCATTTGTCCATGCGACATTTTTTCTGCAACCATTTGTCCGCGACATTTTGTCCGCAACGATATGTCCGCGACATTTTGTCTTGCAACATTTTGTCCTGCGACATTTTGTCCATGCGATATTTTGTCCGCAACATTTTGTCCGCGACATTTTGTCTTGCGACATTCAGTCCGGTCACCA